CTGTTTGCCATGAGTACAAAACGATAAAACCCTTTCCATGATTATAAGTAATCTCTGTGTTTATGAAGCACTATCATACGGTGATGATACTATGCGTTTTCAAAAAAGTCAGCCTATCCTACTCCATAGGTGGCAGTTGTCACAAACACTCGCAAAGGCAAGTCAAATGATCACCTGAAGAAAAGCTCGGTTGCATATGGTTCAGGTCTCAAGAGAGAACCGCTATCATTTTGGACCATCATGGCATCAATACTCACATCTTAAAGTTAGGCTATGATATGCCTGAATGTTCCACCAAAATACCTAGCTCAGGTGGGTGAAAACATGGCTGACACATCGACCTTTGTTCACAAAGCTGCAGCGCCAGGTGTATCTACATCTTACAGACCCGTGAAGATCTGGGTTAGAATTGATCTTCAGTAACCCATGCTTGTCGTGAGAGGCGACTAACAGGATCGGGTGGTCAGGTTCGCTGACTTGGTTGACACACGTCATCGTATCCCAGTTGCGTAGATCGATGCTCATGCAGTTGATCACTGGATTGTCTGGTCCAGACTCGGTTATTTCACAGACCACCACCATACACACACACACACACACACACACACACACACACAATACACACACACACACACACACACTGAGTGCGGCGTTAAACAACCAAACCAAACCCAACCCATCAACACCAGCCTTATTCACGATACAAGTATGGCTCTGCCAATGAGAGATGTACAGTTTTGTTTTATCTAACCACGTGAACAGCGAAGCATATTTTCAGGAATTTGAAACAGCCTACTTTTATTCCTATGGACGTGGCATTTATCGTTTGAAATATACTACTCGTGATTTCAATGTAATTTAAGCTTTAAGGAAAGAGTATATATGCTCACGGCATGGTTTCTTTCCACATCATACATTATAGAAAGTACACTAGGAAAGGAGTTACGTTTCAAAGAAAATATCAATCAAAACTCACATGACAGGCGAAGACATTCTGCCGATAGGTAAATACGTAATTTCATTTGCAGTATTAGCACAGTTGAGCCTCTTGAGTTAAAAAAGTCGCGATTCCGGATAAATCTAATCTTGTTTTAAAATTTATTCCAGATGAAGACACGCATAAATCGAGTATGTTTTAAACGTTTTACTCTGCTGGCATCAGTCATGGAGTTTGGGTATTACACTCTTGCAGGTGTTCCTTTCATTGGGTTCATCTGCAGCCGTGCCATCGGCAGTGGCGTCGTTATCGAAAGACATGAGAAATGACACCAAGTTAGCGAAATACATTATCCATGCCGTTTGTTCCTTAACATGATATAAGGTAAACTATTCGAGCTCGAACGTATGGCTAATGTGAAACATTTTTACATATTCCCGGGAAGAAGTTAGGGTTTTTTTCGTTGTAATGTCGATTCCATCCGGGGCTCACGAGGACAAATTGTTGAGTCCATTCTCGGAATATAATAGTGCAAATGTATTGATCTTACAAGCATAACGCGACTCAAGACAATACATCATCGTAGAAATGAATGTATATTCAAAATTTTATTGCTGTTTAATATGAAACGTAATGCCGCAGTAACGGGGATAGGGTATTTAATGTAAAGAGAGCATCGATTACGTTTTGACACCGGGTGTCTACGAGAAGGGCGGTAGGCCAAGGTAAATGATTGAGTGACACTGTATTCAGCATTATGCCAGCTACACCACGATGGCCAGGGAATTCGTGGTTGTCATTACATCCGATCCCCATTTATTGGGTTTTGTGGATGTATTGTGGCCATTGTTCCAATAGATCCCCATTTATTGTGTGTGTGGATGTATTGTGGCCATGTGTTCCAATAGATCCCCATTTATCGGGTATGTGGGTGTATTGTGGCCATGTGTTCCAATAGATCCCCATTTATCGGGTATGTGGATGTATTGTGGCCATGTGTTCCAATAGATCCCCATTTATCGGGTATGTGGATGTATTGTGGCCATGTGTTCCAATAGATCCCCATTTATCGGGTATGTGGATGTATTGTGGCCATGTGTTCCAATAGATCCCCATTTATCGGGTATGTGGATGTATTGTGTATTCCGTGGCCATAGTGTTGTGGCCATGTATTGTATTATGTGTTCCAATAGATCCCCATTTATCGGGTATGTGGATGTATTGTATGTGTTCCAACCATGTATGTTCCAATAGATCCCCATTTATCGGGTATGTGGATGTATTGTGGCCATGTGTTCCAATAGATCCCCATTTATCGGGTATGTGGATGTGTATTGTGGCCATGTGTTCCAATAGATCCCCATTTATCGGGTATGTGGATGTATTGTGGCCATGTGTTCCAATAGATCCCCATTTATCGGGTATGTGGATGTATTGTGGCCATGTGTTCCAATAGATCCCCATTTATCGGGTATGTGGATGTATTGTGGCCATGTGTTCCAATAGATCCCCATTTATCGGGTATGTGGATGTATTGTGGCCATGTGTTCCAACAGATCCCCATTTATCGGGTATGTGGATGTATTGTGGCCATGTGTTCCAACAGATCCCATTTATCGGGTATGTGGATGTATTGTGGCCATGTGTTCCAACAGATCCCCATTTATCGGGTATGTGGATGTATTGTGGCCATGTGTTCCAACAGCCATTTATCGTGGCCGTGATATTGCTGGAATATTGCTGCGGCGTAAAACTAAACTCAGTCAGTGTGTTCCAACAGATCCTCATTTATCGGATATGTGGATGTATTGTGGCCATGTGTTCCAACAGATCCCCATTTATCGGGTATGTGGATGTATTGTGGCCATGTGTTCTAATCTGACGCTTGTTAATTTTCTTCACTTCTACTGTGCTATGCTTCGATACAGTTGTTGGCATCTCTATCAATAAAATAGCATCACGTTTCGGTGAAATCACTTTCTTTGTAACTATACTAGCACCTGCGTCGACCTACCGTAACACCACACTGGCAGAATAAAGTGTTTCAAGTATTAAGATCGCCACTATCGTCACTGACAGTTTCAACACTGACACTTCAAGGACTCCGGAATCAACTGTTTTCGACGCGGATTAATGTGCGCCCGACGATCATGAATTAGAGCAGACTAATTGTATGAAACCGGATACTACGCCTTTAAGTCAGAGTTGTAGGATACACTTTCCAATTTGTTTATTAAAAAATATTGAAATTTGAACACAGATGAATTATCCTCTAAATATGACATTGTCATCTTGTCTGTGTACAAAAAGGGAAGCTTAACCATGGAGAAACTACAAATATGATAGTTACAAAACCGATTCTTTATAATAGATTTCAAACTCTTTTGGACTTCAAAACCACAACGCAACGTGAATACTATCATCGACCCGTCTCGGGCAGGAGCGCTTCATTTGAGTTTCGCAACTCATATTTGGTTTTCTTTTGCGAAAGATCTTGCAGGTTCGTGATACAGTAAAACAAGTACTAATAACTAATTACTACAATTGAAGGACTTGTTAATGAGTATCGCTCAGAATTCATGTCATGTGAGTGAGTGATGTTTTACATTACAAACTAGAAACAATTTCGCCATGCCATGAATACCTGTAGATAACCTTATAGGTTAGGTAACGTATTATAAATAACCCGTTACAAACTGTCGCACACTCTCATCGGGATGACTTCCTGCTTGTTCCCACATACGACTGACTGACTTCATGTTCGTAGGTCCGGTCCACAAACCGATTTGATCACTAAGTCGATTTTCTCTTTTACTTAAATATTAGGTGGACGAATAGTCGTGTTACGATGACAGCAGCCGATTTACAGCATCCCAAGGTAGGATGTGGCCCGTTGTTATCATAATATTGTACAAATGAATGATGTGATAAGAATCGCGATTTGACAAATATGCAAAAGATGTCATCCTTCACTGAAGTAATTTTAGATGCGATGCCTTCTTGCTCAGAAACTTTTGTATAGCGTTCCCAAAACGTTTAGATAGAGTCTTCCCTATATTGAGTGTCAATACAAACACAGGTGCAGTGGCACGACATAACTTCAATTATTGGATTGTCTTTACATAAAGTTACATTAGTAAAAGTCTCTCAAAAGTGTCTTAATGTATGACAGACCGATTATAATTCTTGTGGGTTTCCATATCACAATGATCCGCATTCCATGCCAAAATATATCCATACCTATAAAACATGTCCAAATGTATGATATATACTACACGAAAACATACTAGGCTAATCTCTGATCACCAATAAATAGTTCTTGCCGCACGCAGCAATATTCCAGCGATATGGCGGTGGTCTGTTAATAATCGAGTCTGGACCAGACAATCCAGTGATCAACAGCATAAGCATCGATCTATGCAACTGGGATACGATGACATGTGTCAACCAAGTCAGCAAGCCTGACCACTCGATCCCGTCAATCGCCTCTTACGACAAGCATGGGTTACTGAAGATCAATTCTAACCCGGATCTTCACGGGTCACATTGGAGAGTTGTCCAGAGCTGTTTTTTAACATTTAAGAATGAGTAGGAACTGGTTTTCGCATTACCGATATGTTCAGACTGTCCTACTGAGACCAACTGAAAAAGGCTGTACAGAATCCATAAGGACGACGTGCAGTATCTAAAGATTTCTCCTTCAGGCATCAGTTAATACGATATTGTAGATTTTGTTGAACTAACGTGACGTTTTTAATTGAACTATTTTTGGGTTGATTTGGTGCTGTATCTGAAAATAGTGGAAAATAGTGTCTGATCGTTCTGAGCCTGATATTACGTTCGGTAATAGAAATGTCTGATATGTGTCATAGAGGTATATCCACAAAACGATGTAGACGTTCGGTAAGTGTTCGCTCTTCGCGGGTTCGATTCCTCATAGGGTACAATGCTGAAGCCCATTTTTGACTTTCCGCCGTGAATTTGCATCCTAAATCCGGCTTAAAACTATACTCACTCACTCACAAAATTCTTGAATCTAATGAGCAAATTGTTTGTAACATAGAGTAATGAAGAGGCCTCGGCCTGTGACCTGTGTAAAATGGACAAGCTCGGGCAAAGTTCAGAGATCAAGTACTTGCAGAATACAATATAGAACAAAATTTATGGATAACAACATAATAGGCTCATAACAAACAAAACCACAAAGATGTCCGTACAGCATTAGAGAAGAATCACCCTTCTTGTGCCATTGGAAGATCCGGGCGGAGTCCTGGCAGGCTTTGAAGGCCTTGAAGACGACCCCCGTACTGGCAGGGAAAGCCTTGAAGACGACCCCCGACCTGGCAGGGAAAGCCTTGAAGACGACCCCCGTCCTGGCAGGGAAAGCCTTGAAGACGACCCCCGATCCTGGCAGGGAAAGCCTTGAAGACGACCCCCGTCCTGGCAGGGAAAGCCTTGAAGACGACCCCCGTCCTGGCAGGGAAAGCCTTGAAGACGACCCCCGTCCTGGCAGGGAAAGCCTTGAAGACGACCCCGTCCTGGCAGGGAAAGCCTTGAAGACGACCCCCATCCTGGCAGGGAAAGCCTTGAAGACGACCCCGTCCTGGCAGGGAAAGCCTTGAAGACGACTCCCGACCTGGCAGGGAAAGCCTTGAAGACGACCCCCGTCCTGGCAGGGAAAGCCTTGAAGACGATCCCCGTCCTGGCAGGGAAAGCCTTGAAGACGACCCCGTCCTGGCAGGGAAAGCCTTGAAACGACCCCCGTCTTGGCAGAAAACGACGACCCCGTCCCTGGCAGGGAAAGCCTTGAAGACGACCCCCGTCCTGGCAGGGAAAGCCTTGAAGACGACCCCCGTCCTGGCAGGGAAAGCCTTGAAGACGACCCCCGTCCTGGCAGGGAAAGCCTTGAAGACGACCATCGTCCTGGCAGGGAAAGCCTTGAAGACGACCCCGTCCTGGCAGGGAAAGCCTTGAAGACGACCATCGTCCTGGCAGGGAAAGCCTTGAAGACGACCATCGTCCTGGCTGGGAAAGCCTTGAAGACGACCCCCGTCCTGGCAGGGAAAGCCTTGAAGACGACCCCGTCCTGGCAGGGAAAGCCTTGGAAGACGACCCCGTCCTGGCAGGGAAAGCCTTGAAGACGATCCCCCTGGCAGGGAAAGCCTTGAAGACGACCCCTGGCAGGGAAAGCCTTGAAGACGACCCCCGTTCTGGCAGGGAAAGCCTTGAAGACGACCCCCGTCCTGGCAGGGAAAGCCTTGAAGACGACTCCCGACCTGGCAGGGAAAGCCTTGAAGACGGCCCCCGTCCTGGCAGGGAAAGCCTTGAAGACGACCCCCGTCCTGGCAGGGAAAGCCTGAAGACGACCCCCGTCCTGGCAGGGAAAGCCTTGAAGACGACCCCCGTCCTGACAGGGAAAGCCTTGAAGACGACCCCGTCCTGGCAGGGAAAGCCTTGAAGACGACCCCCATCCTGGCAGGGAAAGCCTTGAAGACGACCCCCGTCCTGGCAGGAAAGCCTTGAAGACGACCCCCGTCCTGGCAGGGAAAGCCTTGAAGACGACCCCATCCTGGCAGGGAAAGCCTTGAAGACGATCCCCGTCCTGGCAGGGAAAGCCTTGAAAACTGGAAGAAAACGACCCCCGTCCTGGCAGGGAAAGCCTTGAAGACGACCATCGTCCTGGCAGGGAAAGCCTTGAAGACGACCATCGTCCTGGCAGGGAAAGCCTTGAAGACGACCATCGTCCTGGCAGGGAAAGCCAGAGGTAAAGCCTTGAGACGACCCCCGTCCTGGCAGGGGGAAAGCCTTGAAGACGACCCCCGTCCTGGCAGGGAAAGCCTTGAAGACGAAAGCCTTGAAGACGACCCCGTCCTGGCAGGGAAAGCCTTGAAGACGACCATCGTCCTGGCAGGGAAAGCCTTGAAGACGACCCCCATCCTGGCAGGGAAAGCCTTGAAGACGACCCCCATCCTGGCAGGGAAAGCCTTGAAGACGACCCCCGTCCTGGCAGGGAAAGCCTTGAAGACGACCCTCGTCCTGGCAGGGAAAGCCTTGAAGACGACCATCGTCCTGGCAGGCCTGTGCCTTCAGCAACGCCAGAATATATCCTGAGAATCCAATTTGTGGTGACGACTGACTGGCGAATTCGCCTTGCTAGTTCCTCGGAGAGAGTATATTCTATTGACACAGTCACTTTGGCAATGAAGTAAGTATCAGGTATTGGGTTCCAAAGCTACTGGCGTCTGAACAAAAAAGCAAATGGCAGAACTTGACTCATGATAATCTTGTTCTGTTTGAAGATGAAACAGAAAGTCTTTTTGTGACTGTGGTTGACACCTGGATTTACCACTTCCAGGCGGAGTGCAAACAACAGCCAAAACAGTGGAAGCATTTGACACCGCCAACAAAGAAGGCAAAGACTGTCCCATATGCCTGTAGATATCACTTGGGGGTATGTAGAGAAGTCATAGGTAAGGCGTGCACTGGTCGTCAACTGGTTGACCGTTTTCCTCGTGCGGGAGGCCAGACATACTCTTAATTATATCCATGTTGCCCAGGTGGGTAGCCTAGTAGTTAAAGCGTTCGCTCGTCACGCCGGGTTCGATTCCCCACATGGGTACGATGTGTGAAGCCCATTTCTGGTGTCCCGTGACATTGCTGGAATATTGCTAAAACCGGCGTAAACCCATACTCACTCACTCACTCGCTCTTGTAAACCAAGCGCGAACGGTCAGTTAGAAGCTGGGAGTTAAGGACTAAGCTCCAGATGAAGTGCTCACAATAAGACGTTATGGACCAGCAGAAGGACCTGTGGATAGGAAGCCTATTCCCTAAAGCATCAACTTCAGAGGCGGATAAGGGGTTCTGACCTCCACGGTCTGGGACTACGAAGGTGTCATCATGGCGGACTAGATACTACAGGGCCATACAGTTAATAGAGCATATTTTGTTGCACCTTTGTGGCAATTATGAGATAAAATTAGAGACGTCGGAAGCTAAGAAAAGGGGTGCTGTTCCATCAGGAAAAAGTCACAGGTACTATCCCTGAGTGTATCTTTCAACACCCACCTTCCTTAAACAACCGACCTGGTTCGTTAACCTTTTCCCAAACATGAAGAAACCCCTCTGCCCAGACCCCATTGAGGCGTGGGGTAGCATAGTGGTTAAATCGTTCGCTCGTCACGCCGAAGACCCGGGTTCAATTCCCCACATGGGTACAATGTTTGAAGCCCATTTCTGGTGTCCCCCGCCGTGATATTGCTGGAATATTGCTAGAAGCGGCGTAAAACTAAACTCACTCACTCACTCACTAACTCAGACCATATTGCGACGTCATAGCAGCTTAGGCTAACTGTTGGGCAGCCGAATAATGGCTGAACTACATGATGACTTGAACTATACTGGGAGAAAATCCCGCGAACTCTATGGCAAAGATGCATCAAAAAGGAAAGATTGAAATAAAATATATTTTAATGTTTGGGGTCAAGTCTTTCTAAAAGTATGTAAGTCTTAGAACATACGAATCACCCCTCGTGTGTATACTGTGCATCTATTGTGTTACAAAAAGGCATTGTTTTGATACGGGGACACCTAATGGGATACATGATGTAACAACCGTGGATCTCCGTCACAAAGTAACGCTTCAACCTATAGGCTACCTGGTTTCAAGTACACAACCTGAGGCGAATCACACCGTGTTGAAGACAGTTGACACCGCCGTTTTGTGTGGCTCTACAGAACCAAGAATTGACGATATTGGGAAGGGGCTGTACCTCACTGATACTGGGATCAGGTAAATGACAATGTAATATCTATCAGTCATCATGAAGCTAATACCCCTGATTCAAGCGCTGGAGGCTTCTGAAAGAATTTAATACTATCAATCATTGGAAGGAATTCTTACATAGATTCTGTTTCCTCCGTATCAACAGCGCAAATATCAGCGTCATCATATAGGATGCTATCTTGTGTTCACGGAATAGTGTCTCATCTTGGTATATGATCAAGAGGAAGATGCAGTTGGTCTGCGAGTGTTTGATTATTATTATTAAGATTAAACCTCTACCGTCATAGAGGCATTATACATGGTGTAAATAAAGAGTTATAGGTTTGCGGCAGTCTGTCCCACTAGTGTGGTGATAACATGACATGGAGAACAACATACCGGGGTTTTCCGAAAGTAACCCCGGGCTTCTATACAGAAAATAGGGATTTTGACAAGTGAACTTTGACACCAAATAGAAGCCCGGGCTTATATTCGGAAACATGGGCTTCTATTCGGAGTTTGTTTTACAGTGACAATCATATGGAATAAAATATCATAAGGCAATAAGTGAAGGAAATATGTTGCAATGGCTATGCAATGAAACGGAACGCATACAAACTCTAATATAAAGTACGGTTGTAAACCGATGCTTGTCACTGCCAGAATCGACAGCATCGACGTTTTTGTTGCCAATGAAATCCATCGTTGTTCCTGTCGTCATGTCTATATAGCAGTGCGTTTCTTCCATGTTGAGGATATGAGCAGCATCGTAACCCAACCTAAACATTTCTACGCCGCGAAGGTCAACCTGTATGATTGTCTTGATAACATGATCTCGGTTGCTGACCCTGATGTGTGACACGTCTGCTTTTAATGTTGTGGCGTTGTAGATCCACTTGTCACTAAAACTAATCGAACTGGTGCCAAGTTCAAGTTCACGTTCAAGTTCCGCGGAGAGCTTGTTACCGAATTCTCTTATACGTTTACGATCATTCTCTCCTTTCTCTGTTCCTTGAACCACGCATACAGACATTGTTCCAATTCAGGGAGTGCTGCGCCAAGAAATCTCTTTGGCGACTGTGCCGACTCCACAAATTTTGACACGTTTTTAGACCATTCTCTAAGCTGTTTCCTATCAATTCCCAGACTCCTTGATGCAGAGGTCAGATTAGCCCCATGCTCAAGCTTTACCTTCTTCACAACATCAAGTTTTTTCTTTAATAGTGTAAGACCTCCGCTTGAACATACTGACTAGAGATGAGACAACAGGCAAAATACGAGACAGTTTTTCAACGTCACTAGTAACGCCAGCGAATATGTATAACGCTTGTATTTCAAGACCACCTTGAGGTAAATGCGTCCTTATTTATCACCTGTATAGTCAGATC